TATGGTGCTTAAAAGGAGCATTTGCATTAATTTCATTTTTTAAAGATTTGAGATGTTCCAAGACAGCAGCTGTCCATTTTGGTCTTCACATTGGAAGGTAGCGTGTCAGTCTGATCACAACTACTTAACAACTTTTCAATCTGAGGTTGTTCAAAGTCCTGTCTCCATCAGGTGAGATGTTAATTGCTCATAACCGTTCCACAGAACAAAGAACCTCACTTCAAAGGATCTGAGCTGTCCTGGAGTATGAGCTAGAGGCTGTGAAACTGAAGAGACGAGCAGAGAATCCTTAACCATCTTCTGCTCAGTTCACATCAAAACGGTCGGAATAAACTGCAAAACAGAATGTCAGTAATGATCACATCCACCCAGTTTGGCTGTGTTTATAGTGGTTTTCAGAACAAGGCATGGAGACACATAATCGAGGAAGCTCAGCTCTGTTAACAAGAAACCCCAAATTAAGAAACAAAGTGTGAAACATAAAGAAAAAAGAGATAAATAAAAAAAATCAGATTATAGTTAAATAAAAACCTTTTATTCTGTAAAACCAGAGAACAAAGTAAAGAATGGTGATCTGAAAAGGAATCAAGATTCAGGCACCCCCCTGGGTGTGGCAGCCCTGTTACAGCAGCTCTGCTCATTCTGAGCTTCTTTTTTTCTTTTTTCTTCTCTCCCGTTTCTTTTTTTTAAAATTAGATTCGACAATCATGCTCTTCCATTTGGAGCCGGCTCTGGTTGTTTTTTTGAGTTTTTTTGTCTGTGCTTGGGGAAGCGGAGCAGAGATCCCTTGTCTCCAGCAGGGATCAGCTGTTAGTGTTGCGTTCAACAGCGGTACTGCCAGTGGATAGACTCGATATCCCCGGCGAGCTGAGGAAAAGACGAGGATGTCGTGCTGGGAAGGAGCGCCATCGCCCGACAAGGAGACGTTATCGATCGTCTCTTCCTTCTGTAATTATTGGAAATGTAAGATCTCTGCCCAATAAGATGGATGAGCTCTCATCGCTAACCCAATCACAAAGGGAGTATCGGCAGTGCAGCATATGATACTAACGGAGTTGTGGCTAATACCGCTAATCCCGGATGCGTGCGTGACACTACAGGGATTTCAGATGCTGCATGCGGACAGAACAAGTGAAAGCAGTAAGAGGAAAGGTGGGGGACTAATGGTGTTTGTGAATGACAGCTGGTGTAACCCTGGGCATATCACAGTGAAAGAACAACATTGCAGCAGAGACATTGAGGTGCTAGCAGTTAGCATGCGTCCGTACTTTCAGCCCCGGGAATTCTCGCATGTTATTGCGATAACAATTTCCCCCCACCCCCCACCACCACCACCCTGCGAATGCCGAGGCAGCCTGTGACTCTCTTCACTCTGTGGTTAGCAGACTGCAAACACAATCCCCGGGAGCCTTCTTTATTATATCTGGGGACTTTAATCATGCCTCACTGGACTCCACGGTGCCCACCTTCACCCAATATGTGACCTGCCCGTCCAGGGGAAATAAAACACTGGACCTACAGTATGCCAATGCTGAAAAGGCTTATAGTTCATCACCTTTCCCTCCTCTGGGCAGATCTGATCACAATCTGGTGTATCTTGCTCCTGTGTATGAGCCTTTGGTGCGAAGGGAGCCACCAGCCACCCGTACAATACAGAGATGTTCGGAGGAGAGTGAGGAGGTCCTTAAGGACTGTCTTGAGACAACTGTGTGGGGGGTGTTCTGTGAAGATCATGGAGATGACATCGACAGCGTCACTGCATGCATTACTGACTATATTAATTTTGGTGTAGATAGCATTATCCCTATCAGGACTGTACGGTGTTTCTCTAATAACAAACCCTGGATTACTCCTGAAATAAAAGAAGCCCTCAAGCTCAGAGACAAGGAGTTGAAAAGAGTGCAGCGAGAACTGAGGAGACTGATAAGGAATGGGAAGGACACCTACAGGCAGAGGATGGAGAACCATCTTCAGCAAAGCAATGTTGGTGAAGTCTGGAGAGGTCTTAGAACCATCTCAGGTCATAAACATCAGAACTCTCTGCCTGTGAGGGATGTGAGGTGGGCTAATGAACTGAATCAATTCTTTAATAGATTTGACTCGGCTACAAGGCAGACCTCAACGTCGGCTGCTGACTCTCCCACCCTCTCTACCGCTGTTTCACCTCTGACCTCTCACCCCTCCTCACCTTCAGTAACAGTATCTAGTATACACTTTACGCAAGGCCTCGGCTGGTCCCTCTCTACCACACAGGTGAGGGGGGAATTGAGGAGGATAAATGGCAGGAAGGCAGCGGGTCCAGATGGTATCAGCGCATGGGTGGTCAGGTCCTGCGCAGACCAACTGTGTGAGGTAATTGGGCACCTTTTCAACCTGAGCCTGAGGCTGGGAATAGTCCCAAAGCTCTGGAAAACATCTTGTGTAGTTCCATTGCCAAAGACTTCACGCCCCAAGGATTTTAACAGCTACAGGCCGGTGGCTCTAACATCCCATCTGATGAAGACTCTGGAGCGGTTGGTTCTGGTTCGGCTTCGGCGCCTAGTGGGCTCTTCATTGGACCCGCTTCAGTTTGTCTATCAAACTAGCATTGGTGCTGATGATGCGGTCATCCACCTCCTGCATCGCTCGCTCGCTCACCTGGAAACTGTTGGGAGTACTGTGAGGATCATGTTTTTTGACTTCTCCAGTGCCTTCAATACCATTCTCCCCTCGGTTCTGAAGGACAAACTGGTGAACGCTGGAGTGGATCATCACTTCGCTACCTGGATTCTGGATTACCTTTCTGACAGACCACAGTATGTGAGGACTCAGGGCTGTGTGTCGGATACTGTCGTCTGCAGCACGGGTGCCCCCCATGGAACGGTTCTGGCTCCGTTCCTTTTTACAATCTATACTGCGGACTTCTCCTATAACTCTACTCAGTGCTTCTTGCAGAAGTTCTCTGATGACTCTGCGATTGTAGGTCTCATCAGGGATGGGGATGACAAGGAGTACAGGAGACTGACTCAGGATTTTGTGGACTGGTGCCAATTGAACTATCTACAGATTAATGCCAGCAAAACTAAGAAGCTGGTGGTAGATTTTCGTAGGCATAAGCATTCCTCGCTTCAACCATTGAGTATACAGGGCATGGGCATTGAGACTGTGGACAGCTACAGGTATCTTGGGGTCCATTTGAACAATAAGCTGGACTGGACTCATAATTCAGATGCCCTGGGCAAAAAAGGGCAGAGTATGCTGTACCTACTACGGAGACTGGGGTAATTTGGAGTTGTGGGCCCTCTCCTGAAGACCTTTTATGACTCTGTGGTGGCCTCGGCCATCTTTTATGGTGTGGTCTACTGGGGCAGCAGCATCTCTGCGGGGGATAGGAAGAGGCTGAACAGACTGATCCGCAGGGCCAGTTCTGTTCTAGGATGTCCCCTGGACCCTGTGGAGGTGGTTAGTGACAGGAGAATGACAGCTAAACTGTCATCCCTGTTGGATAATATCTCCCATCCCATGCAGGTGACTTTGACAGCTATGAGCAGTTCCTTTAGTGGGAGACTGCGGCACCCAAGGTGTGGGACAGAGAGATTCCGGAGGTCTTTCCTCCCCACTGCTGTCAGACGCTACAACAAATCTGTTGGATGAAGTGTACTCTGTATTTCTAAGTTGTATATAGTATGGTTATTTTTTACTCCATTCTTAAGGTATAAATTATCTATTGTATTGAGTTTATTTTATCTCATTACGGTCGAACTTATTGTATTTTAGTGTTTTCTCCCTCTGCTGCATAACTTTTACTTTACTTTTACTTTGGCTGTAAACGAAACAAATTTCCCACTTGTGGGACTAATAAAGGTTATCTTATCTTATCTTAAGATATATACGAGCAATAATATAGAATATGCTGTGAAGGTTTTCAGTCTTCCAGGTCAGAATCCAAAAGGGTTTGATGAAGGCAACTGGACTTCTTTGGTTTCTTGAAGATGTTTTGCTTCCCATCCGAGGATCTTTGTCAGTTCTGACTGGAATATGGGAGTCAAGCTCATCATCTGTAGCTGTCTGTTGTTGTTTAATTAGCAGAACTACTCTGAATACCCCTCCTCTCTACCCCTTGATAAGTCATTAGCCTCTGTTGTGAGGGACTTGTGTTGATTAGATGCCGGAAGGTTTGACCTAGACTGAAACTGCTTAGGAGTGAGATTCAAAGCTACATTATAGGTGCTGGAAAGGTGAAATCTAACCCCCCAACTCTATTTAAAGTGGCTTTTTCACATTTGACATAGATGGCTTTCTTCACTCCTCTCTCAAACCATCTATCTTCTTGGACCAGAATGTGTACTTCTTCATCTTCAAAAGTGTGTCCCTTGTCCATCAGGTGTAGGTGGACTGCAGAGTCTTGACCTGAAGAGGTGGATCTCCTGTGTTGTGCCATGCGCTTGTGTAGTTCTTGTTTAGTTTCCCCAATGTAAAGATCTGGACAGTCCTCACTATGGACTGCACAGATTCTGCCACTAAGGGTGCGTTCGATTTTCCTTGGAAGTCGGAACTCGGAACTGGGAATGACGTCACACCCAAGTTAACAGCGTTCTGGTCGCTGGAGACGGAGAAGTCGGGATTCCAATATGGCGACACCCTCGAAAACTGCAGTTTTGTTAGCTCTCAACAAACACAGACGACTCATTAACACACATGAAGCTCGTCTTCAAAGAATATTCGAAGAGAGACAAAGACGAAGAAGGTAGGTGTTCCTCTTTCTGCATTTTGCCGTTTGTTGAGTCTTTCGTCAGGATTTTCAACCTTCATTATGTGTTGTGCCATTCTCCAATGTCTTTTTTTTAAGGGATATAAATCATATTGTTGCAATGTGAGATGCAAAAAAAAGACAAATATGTTGTTGGAGTTGTAATTAAGTGTTTCTTTATGTATGTGTATTTTAGTGATGATTTGATTTAAGTTAAAACAATTATTTTCTCTTCTTACTGTGAAGTGCTTTGTGGTTTTTATCTTGAAAGACACAATAAAAAACTGGTTTCTTCTTAGGATGTACTGTCATCTTCTACTGCAGAGAACGAAGAGGCTTATCCTGAAGACTGGAACAGAGTGGGAGGTTTTGCTGCACATGGATGAGCACACCTTTGCTCGCCATTTTAGGGTCACCAGGCCACAGTTTAAATACCTGACAATGAATCTACAGGAGAATGGAGTAGGCAGGGAACACCATCAAGGCCTGCCACCAGTTCCTGTGACAAAGAAGGTGCTGATGCTTCTGTGGTACATGGTGAACCAAAACAGCTTTAGAGAGATGTCTGACAAATTTGATGTGTCCCAGTCCGCGGCACACCAAATCATTGTGGATGTGCTCAAAATATGTTGCACACTTGGCTCAAACTTTGTCTCTTGGCCAAATGCCTGTGAGAAAGCAACATCTGCTCTTGCTTTTCAGCGACTCTGTGGCATCCCTGGTGTCATTGGTGCCATTGATGGGTGTCATATAAAGGTGCAGAAGCTACCAGTGTGAGGTGTAGACTACATGAACTTAAAGTCTTTTATCTCTGTCCTTCTCCAGCGGATTGTAGATGAGAGAGGAAGATTCTTGGACATTTGTGCTTGACCACCTGGAAGGGAACATGATGCAAGGATGTTGAGGGCTTCTCCCTTCTTTGAATCATGGCAGGAGAAAATGGCTGGTTACAGCTTACTTAAGCCCTTTTCAGATAGACATCCTGGAATATGTGTGGACAATTCAATCCAGTTTTTAACCGGAACTGTGTTTTCAGACACACCACTTTTGTACCGGAACTTGTCCTTTCGGCTGCCGTCACACGGCAGGGAAAAGTTCCAGATGTCTGGGGGGGGGGGGGGGGGGGGGGGGGGGGGGGAGAATCGGACTTATGTTAAGCATAATACTGCACACACGAAGATGCATAAGAGACCTCGATGATGAAGCTCAATGGTTAAAGGAATCACTGAAGCGGTGTGAAGCGCTCCGTTGCGCGTCTTGATGGTACCGTAGGAGGCGAGCTGCCATGGTTCGCCGCATGCTACAGCAGCGGGCTATCTAGGTGCACACAGCGTCCCCCAGTCCCCTCCTCCCTGCCCAGAACTCGACCTCACCAGTCTGAAGTAGCTACCCTGTCCGTAACAAGTCCGGACCTGTTACTAGGGGCATTGTCCGGTTAAATTACGGAAAACGTTATCTGGATGTTTGTATTCAGACACAAAGGTCTTAAGGACAGATTCCGGAACATTTCCGTTTTTCATGGCCTGTCTGAAGGGGGCTTAAGACAGTGCATACATCGGGAGAGTTTTCCATTTGTTGTAACCCCTTGATGCGACAATGGAACCCTGACTTGTGAGGAACAACTTCAGAACATCAAGATCAGTCTTGTTAGGGTGGTTGTTGAACAAGCTTTTGGACGAATAAAGTGCATGTGGAGGCGTCTCCGTGATCTTCAGAACACCAACATCAAAACTGTGGTAATGATAATAATGGCAGCCTCTTTTTTGCACAACATGACTATCGCTGACTTGTGCCAGCTGCACCCCCAGGGCCTCCCAAGAGAGGATGGTGACATCTAGTAGTGTTGTCAAAGTTACAAGACGCTTGTTTTGCTTTTGCAAATATATTGCATTTCTTCTTGTTATTGTTAGATATTTAACTATGTTGTTAATTGCAGTGTGCCTGCATTTCAGTGGCTTTATTTTGTTAAAGTGTTTTCTCTGCTTCACACTCAAGTATTTATTCTGGGGTTTTTACTCTTTTCTATTTACTCTCTTTCTCTTTCTCTGTTTCTTTACATTTTTAACTCACAATTTACAATTTTTTCTCATTTTAAACATGTTTTTTTACCACTTTCTAAAAATATTTTTATGTTTAAAATGTTTTCTTTTTTGTAAAGCGCCTTGTGATTTTTATCTTGAGAGGTGCTATATAAAAGATTGTTTCACTCTTTCTTTCTTTAATAAGGTAACTACACTTAATAAAGATGAGGCTGTTTGTCATTGGTAATGTAGGACAGACTTGGACACAATATTAGAAGCAAAAAAAAATTAATAAAAAAAAGAAAGGAAATCAAACAGTTTTACAAAGTTTACAAGCTTTACTGTCAGACAGAACACATTTAGTCGCCATTAATGAAAATATTGCACAAACTGTCTTGTAAAACTAAAGAAACAGATTCAAAGAACTATTTCTTACTGCACTGGAAATACAATGAAAACAGTACACATTGATTTAAAGTGGACATTTTTGTGCAAACCCAAACATTTTCAAAAAACTACATCTTTTCAATGAGTGTTCATTACAGCCTCAAAGCTTTCCTGAGCTGTGTGCAGTTGTTGCATGGTTTCATTGTGTCGTCTCTCAAATGCTTCCTCAGAGTCCCTAAAAAACTGCAGAAGCTCATCCTGGGACTGATCCCTGCGCCGTTTGCGTGATGGTGAGGGTGTGTCAGGCACAAGACGTTCTGGTCTCCTCACCTCCAGTCCTGCTGCAGTTCCAATTACTGGAAAGAGAATGCCATGTTGGCCCCCTAACAGCTGCTCCATCTCTTCAAAAAACTGAAATCGCATTGCTCCTTTCCCTGTACTCTTATTGTTGTCTTTTACTTTTTTGTAGCCGTCCACCAAAGTGTTCCATTTCCTAGCTACTTTGTCTGGGTGAAAGCTCTCTTCAAAATGCAAGGACAACTTTTCTGCAACAGATTTCCTTAAGTTTTTTTTTTTATTTTTTTTTTTTTTTGCCTTTACTATTTTTCAGCCTCATGTTCAGCTCTTTCAGAGTTTTGGTGCAACCGTCGCCATTCTTTTCCAGGTGTTCCCTCATCTGGTCGATTAAAAACAAAGTTTGTGCTCGACTGAATCCCTGGTTTGCTGCCAGGCTTGAAGTGGATGTTGAGGCCACGTTCTCTTTGGCTTAAAGGACAGGTAAAAACAATAGTTATTATGCTACAAGAACATTTCACATTTATTATCTTAATTGTGACATTTACTTCAGGAGCTTTACCTGACTCATCACAAACATAGAGCTTAGAGCTTAGTTTAGAGCTTTGCCTGTTTGAGCTGGGTCATGCGCCCCGACTCTTGGTTGCACTCCTGTACCGTCCACCAAGATCTAATGCAAACTTTTTGGAGGAGTTCACAGAGTTCCTCGGTGAAACTATTCCCAAATATGATAAGGTTTTAATTCTTGGGGATTTTAACATCCTGTTACGATGGTCGACTGGGTACGGGAGTTGAGCTTGGTAAAGATGTTTGATATCTGGATTATTCGGTAGAGAACTCTGATCAGGGGTTTCAATGAAACGACTGAGTGAAGAGCCGGTGCGGCGTCTTCCATATATAGGCTTGGGTGTGACTGGGAGAATGCCGGGAGTTCCCGCGAGGAGCATGCTGGGAAATGTGGTCCAAGATGGAGGCCGGTTAGCTAGGGGAGGCCGGTCTGGGGGCTTGGGTTCTGACAGGACCCCCCGGTCCAGGGACGGCTCCAGAAGTCCCAGGGCGACCTCGGCGGTCCCAGAAGTCAGAGACAAGGGCAGGGTCCAAGATGGAGCGGGCCGGCTCCCAGGAGCGTTCCTCAGGGCCGTAGTCTGCCCAATCGACCAGATACTGCCAGCCCGTCCCCTGCGGCGAGCGTCCAGGATGCGCCAGACGGTGTAGATGGGCTCACCGTCGAGGAAGCGGGCAGGCGGAGGCGCCGGAGGCGGAAGGAGAGAGGATTCCACGTAGGGCTTGAGCCGGGAGATATGGAAGGTGGGATGGATGCGGAGACTCGCAGGCAGCCGCAGCCGGTACGTGACCGGGTTGATGACCCTTTGCACGGGGTAAGGCCCAAGGAACCAGGGAGCAAGCTTCCTGGACCCGGCACGGACACGGAGGTCTGCCGTGGACACCCAGACCTTATCCCCTGGAGCATATGAGGGACCAGGACGGTGTCGGCGGAGGTGTTGGTGAGAGCAACGGGCGTTAGCTCGGGTTATGGAGGCCCGCGCCTTTATCCAGGCGTTCCTGCAGCGCCTCACCAGGGATTGAGCGGCCGGCACCGCAACTTCGGGTTCCTGGTGGGCAAAGACCGGGGGCTGGTAGCCATAGCAGACTTCGAACGGGGACATCTGAGTGGCCGAGGAGGTGTGGAGATTGTGGGATAACTCAGCCCAGAGGAGGTTCTTAGGCCACTGCGAGGGTTGGGCCGAGACAAAGCAGCGGAGGTACTGACCCAGTTGTTGGTTTGCCCGCTCCGTTTGGCCGTTGGTCTGCGGGTGATAGCCCGAAGATAGGCTGACTGATGCTCCCAACAGATGACAAAAAGCCCTCCAGAACCGGGCCGTGAACTGGGGACCACGGTCCGAGACCACGTCGACAGGAAATCCATGGAGACGCACCACATTCTCCAGGAACAACTCAGCTGTGCGTCGGGCCGAGGGGAGGCCCGGAAGGGCGATGAAGTGAACAGCCTTAGAAAACCGGTCAGTGACCGTCATGATGGTATTAAGGTCGTTGACTGGCGGGAGCCCTGTGACGAAGTCCAACCCCACATGGGACCAGGGGCGGCTGGGTACCGGAAGAGGTCTGAGGGTACCAACCGAGGCCTGGTTGGATGTCTTGGAGCGGGCGCAGACGTCACAGACACTCGTATAGTCCTTTACATCTCTCTCCATACGTGGCCACCAGAGAGCTCGTTTGAGGAACCTAAGAGTCCGTGAGAAGCCCGCGTGGCCAGACAGGCGTGATGAGTGGGCCCAGGACAATGCCTCGCTGCGACAGGCCATGGGGACGTAGAGCCGACCCGCGGGGGTCTCTGGAGGCGCGGGATCGTCTCGGAGGGCGTTTTGGATAGTCTCCTCCAGTGGCCACCTCAGGTGGGCCAAGAAACTGTGCTCGGGGAGGATAGGTGCCGGCTCAGACGTGGGCGTTGGATGTGTGAACTGGCGGGAAAGGGCGTCCGCCTTCTGGTTCTTTGTCCCTGGGCGGGAGGCGAGATGGAATTCATAGGGCTCTAAGAAGAGGGCCCAGCGGGCCTGGCGAGGATTGAGCTGCTTGGCTGATCTGATGTGAGTCAGGTTCTGGTGGTCCGTCCAGATGGTGAACGGCTGAGTGGTGCCCAGAAGCCACTGCCTCCATTCCTCCAATGCCCACTTTATGGCCAGCAGCTCGCGATCCCCTACCCCGTACTTCTGCTGGGTGGGGGAAAACTTCCTGGAGAAGTAGGCGCAGGGATGAAGCCTGTCGTCGGGCCCGGCTTGGGACAAGATGGCACCGGCACCAACATCCGAGGCGTCGACCTCGACCACAAAGGGGACTGCATGATCTGGATGGCGGAGGATAGGAGCCGACGTGAAACGGGCGACTAGGTGTTGGAAGGCCCGAACGGCGTCTGGAGTCAGCCGGAAGGGTTGGCTGGGAGGGCTTGGTCAGGTGAGAGAAGTGAGAGGTGCCACAATGGTGCTAAAGTCCTTAATAAAATGGCGGTGAAAGTTGCAGAAACCCAGAAAACTCTGCAGTTGTTTCAGGCTTGTCGGGAGGGGCCAGTCTCTCACCGCCTGGACTTTCTGAGGGTCCATGGTTAGTCCTTTGTCCGAAATCATGTAGCCCAGGAATGATACGGACCGCTGGTGGAAGGAGCACTTCTCGGGCTTACAGAACAGGTTATTGTCCAGGAGCCGGGTTAGAACAGCGCGAACATGGTGGAGGTGTTCGGCCTCGGACTTGGAGTAGATCAGGATGTCATCCAGGTAGGCAAACACCCACCGTCCCAACATGTCGTGGAGGACATCATTTATGAGGCATTGAAAAACGGCGGGGCTATTGCACAGCCCGAAGGGCATGACCTGGTACTCCCAGTGACCGGTGGGTGTGATGAAAGCGGTCTTCCACTCATCTCCAGCTTTAATACGGACCAGATTGTAGGCGCTCTGGAGGTCCAGCTTGGTGAAGATCCGCGCCTGGGAGATGGCGTCCAGGGCAGATGTGAGGAGCGGCAGAGGATGACGGTATTTGACTGTGATTTTGTTCAGACCTCGGTAATCGATACAGGGGCGGAGATCACCCTCCTTTTTCCTGACAAAGAAGAAGCCTGCGGCACCCGGGGAGGAGGAAGGTCGAATGAAACCCTGCTGGAGGGCCTGGTCAATATATTCCTCCATGGCTCTGGACTCGGCGGGAGACAGAGAAAAAAGGCGCCCCCGGGGTGGACTGGTTCCTGGTTGCAGCTTGATTTCCATGTCGTACGGGCGGTGAGGCGGCAGTGTGGTGGCGCGCCGCTTGTCGAACACCGCAGCCAGGTCCCGGTAGGGCAGTGGCAGATTGGGCGGTGTTTGGCCAGTGTCACCGTCCGGGCGGTCTGGCATGGATGTAGGAGGAGAGAGGTGGGCCTGGCACTGGGTTCCCCATTCCAAAATGCGGCCCTGGGACCAGGAAATCCGGGGGTCATGGAGAAGGAGCCAGGGAAATCCCAGTATTAGAGGAGAGGAGGGAGCACATATGATCAGGAACGGGAGGGTCTCTCGGTGGCCTTGGACAATCATCTGGAGTGGCTGGGCTCGGTTTGGGATCGGATAGGGTTGGAGGGGCCTACCATCCACCAAGGTCACAGGCACAACTCTCCAAGGAGGTCATGGGGATCCGTAGGCGCTTACCCAGATCCATATCCATAAAATTGTCAGCGGCCCCCGAGTCCAACAGCGCGTGCATCTGAAGTGAGGTCTCACCATGAAGGAGGGTAACATGAAGAAGGAGTCGATCTGAAGAGGCGGGGGCTGAAGGTGACCCAGGCTGAGCGACCCCGATGCTCAGTGGGTTCCCTCGTTTCCCAAACGTAATGGACAGTTCAGGCGTCTGTGGTGGGAGGAGCCACAATAGGCACAGAGACCCTCGCGCCACCGTCGCTGTCTCTCCTCTGGAGGAAGGTGGCCTAATTGCATGGGCTCATCAGTAGAAGCGGGTCCGGGAGCAGGCGTGGGGGAACGAGGAAGAGGTCCAGGCGCCTGGATGGGCGAGTGAAGGGCTTGGGCCGAACCAGAACCCGCTGATCCATGCGCAGCGCCAAATCGACCACTTCATCCAGGGTCTGGGGCAGTTCCTTTCCCGCCATCTCATCACGGATGTAGGTTGACAGTCCCTCCAAGAAGACGGCTCGGAGGGCAGAGTCATCCCACCGCAGCTTGGCGGAGATGGTGCGGAACTCCGACGCATAAGCGCACACCGTGCGCTCCCGCTGGCGGAGCTTTAGGAGTTGTGTTTCTTCTCCCACTTCGCTGCTGGGTGGAACAAAAGTCTTTCTGAGGCCGGACACAAAAGCAGCATAGTCATTGCAAGCCGGTGATTTGGAATTATAAAGCGCAGTTGCCCACTCAGCCGCACGTCCGGAGAGCAGGGAGGTGAGATGCGCCACCCGAGAGCGCGCAGTGGGGAAGCGCCCTGGCTGGCACTCAAACTGCATGTCGAGGGTGGCGAGCAGACCGTCTGGGCTACCCGTCTCTCCGTTCCACCTCTCTGGGAGACTAAAGTGCGGCCCCTCTGTTGGTGGAGCGAGGGCTTGCTGCTGGAGAGCATGGAGGGCTGTGGATAATTGTAGGATGAGATTGGTCTGGGAGTTTTGTTGTGGAGCCGATCGATCAGGGCGTGGAGCTGAATGAGTTCATTTTCCATTTGCTCCGTCTTTCTGTTCATGCGCTCGAACTCCGCTGGATCTACGGACTCAATCATCCTGTCACGATGGTCGACTGGGTACGGGAGTTGAGCTTGGTAAAGATGTTTGATATCTGGATTATTCGGTAGAGAACTCTGATCAGGGGTTTCAATGAAACGATGACTGAGTGAAGAGCCGGTGTGGCGTCTTCCATATATAGGCTTGGGTGTGACTGGGAGAATGCCGGGAGTTCCCGCGAGGAGCATGCTGGGAAATGTGGTCCAAGATGGAGGCCGGTTAGCTGGGGGAGGCCGGTCTGGGGGCTTGGGTTCTGACACATCCATGTTTGCTGTCATGATGAGCCTATGGTGAAGGATTTTTTAAATCTTGTTGACTCTTTTCATCTGTCTCAGTTAGTTGACCACCCTACACAGGTATGTGTGCATTTCCTGGACCTTGTGTTGTCGTTTGGGGTATCTGCTTCATATCTTCAGGTTGGGGAGGCCTTTTTGTGGGACCATAGACCATTTTATTTAATGTGTCTTTCCCCTGTCAGCCTGTGATGCAGTGTCCTCCTGTGAAACTCTGCCAGGTGTTAAAGTCCTCTACGGCCACTGAGTTTTGTTCAGTGTTTGAGTTGGTGGGGCAGGGGCAAACTGCTGGGCCTAGTAGCACTGAGAAGCTTACTGCACATTTTAACGCAACATGCTCGAAGGTCTTAGATATTGTAGCGCCTGTGCAGGCTAAGAAACATAAATGTAAGAAGGAGCCATTGCTAAATATGACAACACAGGACTTAAACAGGAAATGTAGGAAGGCAGAGCGTAGGTGGAAGCGGGATGGGCTTCAGATCTCCCTGGACCCACTGAGCTGGGTAGCCTACCAGAAAGCTGTGAAAGAGGCGAGAATTAAGTTCTTTGCTGACATTTCCTCCAACTCACAGAATCCTCGGATTCTTTTTAACACTTTGGATTCTATTTTAAATGCAAATGAACCGCTGGCTATTGAGTACACTACAGAATCCTGCAATAATTTCCTCAACTTCTTTGTTGACAAAGTGGGGAGGACGAAGGCTTCGATCACACCCTCCAATTACCACCCTCCTCTTCGGGGTCCTGCCCCAGGGCTCCTGGAAAGCTTTTATCCAACATCTCTCATAGAGTTGGAGAAGGTGGTCAATAGTGTGAAACCATCTGGTTGTGTATTGGACGCAATCCCTGCTAAACTTCTAAAAGAAAAATTTCCAGCTGTGTCTCCTTATGTTCTAGAAATTATAAATAGCAGTCTACTATCGGGTGAAGTTCCTAGCTCTTTTAAACATGCAGTAGTGCGCCCTCTGCAGAAGAAAGCTGGCCTAGATTTGTCGAATATATCTAACTATAGGCCTGCTTCCACACTGCCTTTCTTAGCTAAGGTCTTAGAAAATCTTGTGTATGCCCAAATGATATCCTTTCTACAGAAAAATGAGATGCTAGAGATTTTTTAGTCTAGGTTTAAGTCTCTCCATAGTACAGAATCAGCCCTGCTGATGGTTTTGAATCACATCCTGATGCCAAACAATTCAGGGGAGGCTGTGGTTTTGGAGCTCTTGGACTTGACTGCGGCATTTGACACCATAGACCACAATATCCTGATTGGTCGACTGGAGCACTGGGTGGGAATATCAGGCTTAGCACTCCAGTGGATAAAATCTTACCTGTCAGTTAGGAATTTTTGTGTAAGACTGGGGGACTGTTCGTCTGATACTGCTGATTTGCAATGAGGAGTGCCTCAGGGATCAGTCCTGGCACCTCTCCTCTTTTCCCTCTATCTGCTGGCGCTGGGTGACTTATTTCATCAGCACAATGTCAAGTTTCACCTGTATGCGGATGACTGTCAAATCTATTTACCAGTATCATGCAATAACTCAAGTTCTTTTAAACCACTCTTGGACTGCTTGGAGGAGGTCAAGTTATGGATGGCTCGGAATTTATTGTTCTACAACCAGAATAAAACTGATGCTATCCTGTTCTGCCCAAAATACAAACATGGATGTGCCCAAGGGATTGACTCTCCTTCATTAGCGCCTTTTGAGAAGGCTGTGGTCACCAACCTGGGGGTGAAGTTGGATGTAGAGCTCACACTGGACAGCCAGGTCAATGGAACAATCAGATCCTGCTATTTCCATCTCAGGAGAATAGTCTAGATTAAGCCGCTGCTATCACGTAAACATCTGGAAACTGTCATCCACGCCTTCATTACCACCAGACTGGACTACTGTAACTCGCTTTATGCAGGCATCAAGAAGGCCTTCATAGCGAAACTGCAGAAGGTCCAAAATGCAGCAGCCATGCTACTAACTGGTACTAGGAGATCTGAACACACCACGCCCATCTTGGCATCCCTACACTGGCTTCCAGTCACTTTTAGAATTTCGTTGAAAGTTCTGGTGTTTGTTTTTAAATGTTTAAATGAGTTGGCTCCACGATATCTAACAGATCTGATCCATCCTTATGTTCCCTCTAGGAACCTTTGGTCAACACAACAAGGACTGTCGGTTGTTCCTTTACACAGAGTACAATCTCGAGGGGGTCGTGCTTTCTCGGTGCTGGGGCCGAGGCTCTGGAATGAGCTACCTACATGTGTTAAACAGGCCACCACGCTCTGCAAGTTTAAGAGCCAGGTGAAAACACACTTTTATTCTTTAGCTTTTATTCAAGAAGAGTCTCGTTAACGGATGGCTTTGCACTTTTTTGCTGCCCCACCTAGATTGTATCTATATGTTTTAGTTGGTTTTTAAATGGTTTTATGTTTATTTCTGCTGTGCAGCACGTTGTTTGGTCCTTGGGCCATGTGAAGGTGCTATATAAATAAGGTTTAGTAGTAGTATGTTGGCAATATAAAGACAAACAGCCGTGAGCATGCGCCAACTTCCTGTTTCAGTGAGTGTGTGTGGTGCTGCTTGTGAGAATGGAGACAGCTCTCCCCTCTGCCTCCAGAGTGCACAGCGCCACACACACTTGATAAAGAGAGTTGGCCCATGCGCTCTTCCTTATTCAGTTAATGTGTGTATGGCAGCTCAGAAAGAGTGGAGGCAGGCTCGTCTCAGTCTCTCCTCTCGCTTCAGCATGTATATTTGACCAGGAAACTGGTAAATCCAGCGATTTTGACTATATACTTGATGAAATCATACAGAAAACTAATGTGTAGAGCAGTGAGTGGGCACATTGACTTTATATTAAATCGTTATTAGTATTTTACTTGTCACAATGACAAGGGAGGCGGTGCCTCCCCTGCCTCCTCTATCCGCACGTCACTGGTTCAAACAGAGCATCAAAATGGAGGAGAAAGATGATTTAAATGAATTTCAATGTGTAATTTGTTGGTCTGAGGCTACAATTCCCACAGGATCACCAGAACCGGACTAGAAGAGTCTGGGACTACCTTTCCTGGTCTCATGAGTCTGGATATCAGCTGCAGCATTTAGATGGTTGGGTCAGATTTCTGTGTCACTAACATGGAAGCATGGATCCATCCTGCCTTGTATCAAGGGTGCTGCTGTTGGTGTAATGGTGGTGTGAGATGTTATTGTCCCACATTGGACCCCTCAGTCCCACCTGAGCCTGGTTTAACCCCACAGCCTACCTGAGTATTGTTGCTGACCACGTCCATCTCTTTATGACCACATGAACCCATTATCTGATGCTACTTCCAGCAGGATAATGCACCATGTCACAACGCTCAGATCATCTCTCACTGACAACATGACCATGAGTTCACTGGACTCCAACGGCTTCCACAGTCACCAGATCTCAGTCCAGTCCAGAACCTTTGGGACGAAGTGGAACGGGAGGCTCTCTTCATGGATGGAGCTGATGATGTCATGTCAGGATGGACCAGAACCTCTGTGTCATGACTCGAGGTAAGTGTCTAACCCAAGACATGCAGAATCAACTCGACGAGTTGGTTGAGTTAAAGAAAAGTACTTTATTTGGAAACGGGAACAGAAGTAGCACTGGGAAGTCCAGTGGGGATTGAGCTGTACAGCTCTTGTCCAAGTAGCATTTGCGGTGAACGAGGGAGGCGGGGAAGCCGAGGTGAGCGCTGGGCAGAGGATGAGCGATCCGGGATGGGTGAGGTAGCAGAGAGGGTCCAGACAGGAACAATGGAGGAGGATGGGACGTGGTGCAGGTAATTCGGAGTTCAAGCGGCGAGGGTGATGCAGGGTGTGTAGAGATCCTGAGGAAGGCAAACAAACACCAGACGTGAGAGTAATCCAAAAGCGTAATCCAAAAACAGTCCAAGTTCAAAATCTAAATATTCCAAGACAAGTCTAAAGCGAAAAAACAAGCAACGAGTACGTGTGGCTGGGGCTACCTAAACTGGAGCAGTCATCCAGCGTAGTGAGGTGTCTCCATCCTCCTTTTATATCCGAGTTCATGATGGGAAATCTTATGCAGCTGTAGCCCCCTCCGCTCCTCACCGGTGGGTAATCAGGTCAGAGATGGTTAGGTTGATGAGGAGCACTCACCTCGGCTCGGGAACATGACACTCTGAGGACCAGAACCTCTGAGAGAGGTTTAAAACACCTATTATGATATGACATCAGGAATTAAGTTGCTTCTGAAGGCAAAAACTGGCCCAACCAAGTACTAGAATTGTGTACCTAATAAAAGGGCCACTGAGTGTTTATTAATACATTAATTGATATTCTATCACTTCTGCAGAACAACACACATGCTCACACACACATACACACACTCACACACTTATCCATTCTCAGGATTTCTTTGGCTATCGATTTCCTCTCTTCAATAACTAATGCTTCTCCTGACCTTGCTACCTCCTGAGAAGAGCTTTTCCACATTAGACTGAAGGGCTGGAATGAAGCGTCAACAGCTGATTGGGAACAAACTGCCTCACAGAAGCAATTAAAGCTACAAATATCAATGAGGAGTTTAAAGCCTTTTCTCAGCTTTGTGGAGGGCTGGCTTTGAAATAGTTTTATCTCACCTGGAGTGCTAAAGATGACCTCAATTTTCTAAAAGTGGGACCAACTTAAAAGGCTGTTTTGAACTTTGTAGATGTTATAAATAATTATTTTCTGCAATGGTTAAGAGAAAGCCTTCTACCTCCAACAAGACTGAGAAGATAAAGGTTTGAGTACAGCCAAGACCGGCGATCGCTAGGATCGAATTTAATAGAATTAAATTCATTTTTATAAAACTAAATACTTGACTCTGTCTGAATTAATATGAAGTGTGTGTTTCCCTGAATAGTGAAAGAACCCAGAGTAATACAGTATTAAATAAAACATTCAAAGACCAGTCAGATTGCTAATTTAGATTTATATCGTGTTGGTCATTAAATAAATATAGCAACTTCTCACCGCTACAGCATCATGATTATTTACATGAGTAAGTCACCAGCAGCATGTAGTAATTCCTGTGCACCTAGTAGCCAATGGCAGCATAATTCTAGTACTGCTGATGCTGTTAGATGGCAGCAGGACTCTTTGTTCTTGCTGTTGAATTAGCCTTCAGGCTAAGCCATCTATCAGGGAGGAAAACCAACTATGTTGAGCTGTGCAATTATTTTTCTTTTGTTTTCTTTTTATTGCAGCACTCAATGTAATAAATAAAAAATGTTAATGTGGAACCCTTTTTTCCTTTTCAGTCTGACTTTTCTGAGCACAAAATCAATGTGCATGTTCTGATGCCTGTACAAGTAAAGATGGCAGAATGAGGGCAAAACACACACAACTGTGCTTTACTTTATTTTCCAATAAGGCCCCCCACACACACTTTCCAAGCACTGAGCCTGATGAAACACAGAACTATGCACACCAACTGGCTCTTCTCTTGTTGTATAGCTCCACGGTTTGTGTCTATGTCATTCATGAGACAGATTGGATCATACAGAACATCTAGTTTAATTAATGTATGTACAAGTGTTTAAACTGTCTGAATGTTACAATTTTATGTTTCTGACTCTTATTTAAAATGAGCCTCATAAATGTCAGAAGTCATGTGACCATTTGGCTGCCCATAAAAGCACAATAATCTACTCACTTGTTTGTGATAAAGCTTCCTAGATTCATAAGTTCATCAAGGTTAAAGCCCCAACAGATGACATGCTCAGTGAATGTCTCAGCCAATGGCAAACAGAGGAGGAGATGCTGGAGATATCATCGAAGGAGGACAAAGCCCAACATGGGATGTAGCACAGACTGATCACTAAAGTGGCTGACATCAAGAAATCCTACCAATGGCTAGAAAGAGCTGGTCTGAAGGACAGCACAGGAGCAGACCCTGAACACCAGAGCAACAGAGGCCAAGATCTACCACACCAGACAAGACTCAAGGTGTAGGCTATGTAAAGAGGCCCCTGAGACAATCCACCACATAACTGCTGGGTGTCAGATGCTGGCAGGGAAAGCTTACATGGAACGCCACAACAAAGTGGCTGGTATTGTGTACAGGAACATCTGTGCAGAGTATGTGTAACAGAGGTGTTCTGTTGATACTTATAATTCACCGAAAGTTCATCCTCAGTCATTGTGTTCATTTTATCAAGCTGTTTAACTGCCTCGATATTTATTTTATGTGTTTTTGTATTTTATTTTGAAAAACGCTTCATTTCGGCAACTTCCGGTATTGCGGCCACTTCCTGTGGTTTTCCCGGTACTCTCCTCAGACGGCGGGAGACCATCCTGAGGAGAGAGGTGTGTGTCATAACCAGTCCAGGTGCTGTACTGATGTTATTTTATTTTGCACAGCTGACACCAAATAAATCTTGCTCCAGTGGTGAAGAGGGGTGGTCGCTGTCTCATTCCTTCGCACAACACAACGCAGAAATCTACTTTGTGAGACCAGAAGGTCAGGACAGACCGGTAACATATGGACTGGAAGCCCCAAGGTCAAAGTGGGTAACACCCCCTAAGGTGGATGAGAACAAGAGAGCCAAGCTCCTGTGGTACTTCCAGATCCACACTGACAAACAGGTGATGGTGAACCAACCGGACATTATGGTGGTGGGCAAACAACACAGGACAGCCGTTGTGGTCGATGTGGTAATACCAAGTGATGGTAACATCAGGAAAAAAGGAACACGAGAAACTGGAGAACTACCAGGGCCTCAAAGAAGAACTTGAAAAAGCCTGGAAAGTAAAGATATCAGTGGTACCAGTGGTCATCGGGGCAGTAACCCCCAGACTGGAGTAGTGGCAAAAGCAGATCCCCGAGAAACATCAGACCTCTCAGCCCAGAAAAGTGCAGTTTTAGGAACAGCTAAGATACTGCAGAACCCTCAAGCTCCAAGGCCTCTGGTAGGACCCAAGCTTGGAAGGATGAGACCACCTGTGGAGGGTGAGATGGGAATTATGTATGTATATATATATAATATATATATATATATATATATATATATATATATATATATATATATATATATATATATATATATATATATATATATATATGTATATGTATATATGTATGTATGTATATGTATATATGTATATATATGTATATGTATATATATGTATATATATGTATATACATATATATATATGTATATACATATATATATGTATATACATATATATATATATATATATATATATATATATGTGTGTGTGTGTGTGTGTGTGTGTGTGTGTGTGTGGTTTATGACCTCCACTTGTTTAAATACTTGTTTGGAAGTAATGTCACCAACTCTGCATCAGTCTAGGTACGTCCTCAAACGCTCGAGCCATGCTCTGTGTTGACATCTATACATAAGCAGATGTCGAACACTATTGGCTATGGCTGATGGGATGGGAGGTTGGGCTTAGCAACAAAAGACATGTTTGCTACATTATGTCACAGTAGAAGTTACGACTATCACTGTTACGGAAAACTCCGGTTTGCAGCTTCAATTATAACTTTATACATAAAGATTTGATAGAAGAGCTGAAGTATCCATTTATCAGACCAGATTACAAGTCAATGTTTCCTCTTTTACAGAAACACAGTCCAGCACATAGATCAGTTCGTACAAATCCATTGTGATTCTCAAATGATGCATATGCTGTGGGCTTCTCTATTCCCGTTGTTTACGTCCCTGAGACAGGATTGGGTCACTCGTGTTAATCATGTCCGTTCATTCGTTTTTCCATCTTCATTTCACACCCCTCTTCCCACCGCCACTCCATTCGCAGGTCAACGGCGCCATTGATTTACACCCCTCACCTAATCACTTAGGTAACATTTCCCTGGTGCCCCCCCCCCCCCCCCCCCCCCAATGATTCATAGCCAAGCAATGAAATCTCTCAGTTGCCACTAATTAAGCGTAAGGTCAGCCTTTAATCATCACCTGCTTGTGCAGTATGAGCGACTGCCCTTGCTGATTCAAATCCTCGCTGCAAAGCTTTGCAAGATGAGGCGTGTCGAGACGTGGGAGAGAAGCATGTTTGACTCGAGCAGCGGTGAATGATCACCAGTTCTGTCATTTCAGGTGCTTGAAAGACTTCCATTTTTAACTTCATGGAACATGAAATTCTGTAGGGGATTTCTCTTTTTCTTTCCTTCATCGGTGTCCACAGCTTCATGACTCAGGTTGATTTGAGTGGATGCTTGATTGAATCCTGTCTCACTTTACCCTTCACAGCCCCTAACACTTTACATCACACGTGTACACATACATGCATGCATATTTTACTAGCTACCACTCATTTCTACTGACATTTATGTGCTATAAGTGCCACATCGGTCCTATGTGAGATGATTTAACCACTTTTGGCACAAGAGCCAAGAACTCCCTCGGCCTCTGTTCTCCGTCTCACACCCACAGACACACATATCAGCCATTTCACACATGGCACTTTATAATGAGTGACTGTAGGCAGGGGTTTAACCTTTAGCTGTGAATGTGTGAGGAGAGCACAAGAGAAAAGCCTTTTCGGAGATATTTTTCGAGCTGGAAATGGAAGCTCTTGCTTTTGCGTTTCACCCTGCACAGGCAGGTCATGGGTCGAGGTGGGCTACAGAGCGTGTTATTGTTGATAGGATTGTTTTTGCTCAGGGGATTTCTCAGAAATACTGTCTCTGACTGTAAAGGCCGTGTGAGTCTGGCTGCTCTCCAGCACACTGCTACACTCAGAAAACAACAGTCAAGTCAGGAAGTTTATTGATATCCTGCACATGTATGAAATCGACGTAACCCATTTAACGTGATGTAAAGATTTGAACCTGTGTGTTCTGTACTCTGAGACAAACTGTGTCATTTGAGTCTTGTTATTGAGTCATTATTCATATTTGGGTTTTTTCACCAGTAGATGAATCGTTTAGTGTTTTTGCGCTCTAGGGCTGTGCAATTAATCACAGTTGTTTTTCAATTTCAACTCTAATCAGAAACATTATCAGCAACAAAAATGATTTCTAAAATAATTATTTTCATACCTTCTGAATGACGGCCACTGCCACCCACATTCATCATCAATTTGTCTTTCAAAGTCAACTTATGCTGTCAAACTGGCAGAATGAGGGCAAAACCTTGGTATATAATACATGTCAACAGCTGTAGATGCTGCAATGTTTTTTTTTATCTTGTTCTATTTTCAAGCATCAACTAACCAACTTGCTAATCAAAAGTATGTTATTTTATACACTTTGTACATTCACTGTCTACTTGGACATCTGGTTCTCTGTAGCAGCTTTTCTCTCTTTTGATAGCAGGGCCTTCTGTCCTTATGTGCTTCAGGCGACTGATAAAATATGCATTTAGTTTAATTAATGTAGAGTCTGGGCTGCACAGTGGTGCAGTGGGTAGGGCTGTTGCCTTGCAGCAAGAAGGTCCTGAGTTTTAATAACAACCTGGGGTCTTTCTGCATGGAGTTTGCACGTTCTCTCTGTGCATGCATGGGTTCTCTCCGGGTACTCTGGCTTCCTCCCACAGTAAAAGAAGAATGTTAGTTTTATTGGTATGGCAAAATTGTCCCTAGGTGTGTGTGTGTGTGTGTGTGTGTGTGTGTGTGTGTGTGTGTGTGTGTGTGTGTGTGTGTGTGTGTGTGTGTGTGAGCTTGGTTGTTTGCCCTGTGTGTCTCTGTGTTGTCCTGCGATGGACTGGCAGCCTATCCAGGATGTACCCCATCTCCTTGCTCAAAGACTGCTGGAAATGGGTGCCCCCCCGTGACCTTGCATGGATAAGCAGGTATAGAAAATGGATGGATGGATAATGTAGGGTCTATACATCTTTCCAAAATCAATTTCAAGCCCATGCAGTGCATGTGGTCTCCCTAAAACCTGAAATCTCAATGGTGGTTTCCAGCTGAGAATTGGTTTAAGAAATGTGATTTTGATAATGACCACATTTGTCAATTCTATTTCTATTTACTTTCCATAATCGGCCTTAACAGCAGCCATATGTGACAGGGTGAGCACCCTGCCACTGTATTTCGATTTATCAGGCATCCTGGCTACTCGGCCACAGGGATGTCCCTTTGACTGACTGGTTAGTGTTTTAGTTAGTTGGTTAGTGTATTGTTTTAGTGTTTTTTATGTCTTCCAACATCCATTTTTTAGTATGGTCTTATTGTTGTCTCTACTTTTAATGTATATGATCTATGATTTAATCATGTACTGCCTTGGCTGGTGGCATTAAGGTGCTTTATAAATGAATAGATGAAAATGAAATGAAAAACTGAATGTACACCAAAGGTGAACACTTAAGGAATTTATTTGGATCATTGAACTAATTAAGCATGGAGGCAAAACGCTCCATTTAAAACATTTCACGAGATTCTGACCATCCCTGCTATTTCCTTTGCTGCCAGAACAATGAAAGAATGAAAAGCCCGTCCGCCAGTGTCCCAGGTGATGTATGCCTGTGCAGAGGGTAATTGCACTTGGCAATGGGAGAGGACTCTGGACTCCACAATGGCATTTTACAGCTGATGAAAGCAGCAGACAGGCAGTCAGGGGAGCAGGCGTGGAAGAAGTCCATCCGCTGGAGAGACGACTAGTGATGGATGGGGTACAGGGATGCCAGGCTTGCTTTGAGAGATTGAGAGCTATTCTTTCCATGCCAAAGTGGCAGAAACAAATGACTGAGAGAGCACTGGGGTGACATTGTGAAGAACTCCCAGACACTGATGCTTTACAGGTCGCAACGCTCCTCTGAGTGTTCAGGGAGACCTGGCTGGCTGGGAAGACGGCCCGCTGGCACCTCCGACGATGTTCTGGTTGAAGCTCACATCTGCCTATCCAGACGCATCGGGCCCTCCCAGCAAAGAGGAGGCCCAAATACTATCAGCTGCAAGTGAAGTGAAAACCTACATGAACCATTGCATTTCTTGGCCGTAGCCGAAGCGATGTTCTTTTTGATGAGAAAGTAAAAATGCATTCATAAAACTGATCCCATCTGAAACACCGGGGCAAGGTCCGTCCTATCCCCACCTCTGTGGGCTTCACATTACCATGCTAGACTGAGAAGGGCTTTGTGGCATGGACTTAATTGGGGGTGGGGGTGGGGGGGGGGGATGCCCCCCCCCCACACACACACACACTTTTTCCAAAGTCAAGTTTTGACCCCTGCACTTTTTACCATCCAAAAACAATATTACACTATTAAATTGCCTGCTATAATGCTAACGCAGAAATTAAGCCTGTTTCCCATTAGAGCATACTGTAAAGATTCCCCCCCCCCCCCCTCCCAAATTGAAAATTACACCCATGCTTTGTGGTCAGAACCAATGAATGGACGCTCCACTAGAACAGACCCGTAGAAACTCTGACATGTTCAGTAGAGTATCCCAGCTCTATTATCCAACAC